CAAATTTCAAGCACTCCAAATGGAGCTATACGGCTTGGCGCGGTTCCATTTGGAGTGATCGTGAATGGCCACCTTAACAAAAAGCAATAACTATCATGACGCAAGGATTCTGACTGACATCCGACTTGCTACACGATAATTGAAAATATGACCTTACTCCTTTGGGGGTCTTCAAATTTGTCATTCAAATCCGTTTTATGCGTATGCAAAAAGTGTTAAAAACGGCTAACTGTATTATCTGCCGGCGTCTGTGCTTTTTTCCATTCGGTCATTCTGTTGGTCAGCTCGCTTTCTTTTAGCTATTTATTATTTTATTCGATATTTTTAATGCAGTGCAAAGTTATCTGTGCAAATTATTTATTTCCATATAATTTATTCTCTGTACTACTTAGCATTTACCCCGCACTCTAAACCGTCAACAAATAGAAGACCGAACCCCTGGTAGGTCAAGGGTGAAAAACCGAGGAAAACAGGGGATTACGCATTGAATAAACACCGGAGTAAATTGAATGGAAACGATTGTGGCACGGTTCAAAGTTGTTTGTAAAGGCCCTCGACCAATGTCAAGTGCGTTTTTATCTTCGTGCCCGCAACTATTTTCTCGCCTTTGCCAAATTGAAATTTTATTTATCCTGTCGAAGAGGGCTATATCCAAATTCGTTAAGGAACAGGCGTCCTGTCCACAAAACAGAATTTTATTTGAGATGGTGATGCAATCAACAAGATGAAAACACTGAATCTCAACATCCATAAACGTACTAAAAGATACCAAAGCAAGTACAAATATCATTATCAAGGATATCATGATCTGATGAAAACGATTATTAGTTATAGTAGACGAAGAAGAAGAAGAAAAATAACTTTATTCTGGGCCTGGTGTCCCCTAAGAATAATTTACATGAAATAAATAAAGGAAGTTCCTTCTGTGAAGTTAAAAGTTAAAAAAAAGATAGAAATCTTGGCACAATGTATACCAATAAGGCAGGACAGAAGAAAAAATTACGAGAACATTAAACAAAAATAACAAATGTTAACGTGAGGTCTCTGCTTAGTGGGAGAGAAGGTGATTATACAGGTGGGATTTAAAGGAGGAAAAGGAGGCAGCGTGAGGAATAGAAAGGGGAAGGGAGTTACAGAGTTTAGGGGCTCGGATCAGAAAGGATCTTTCGAAGGTATGGGTTGTACGTTGCGGAAGGATAAGGTCGATTGGGGAAGAGCGGGTCTTACGAGTGAGATGTGAGGAGTTGAATTGGAGGGATTGGATGATGTAAGGAGGACGACGAGTTTGGATGGACTGGAAAAGAAAGCAACCTAGGAAATACTGTGCACGGAAGGAGGGGAATAGCCAGGAAAGTTGGGAATACAACCCCGACATCCGGGATCACTGTGGAGTGTCGTACACAAGTCTTACGCAACAATTCATAATACGCTTCAATCGCGCGTTCTCCCCCTCCGAGAGACCACCGTATGCCAAACAGCTATAATCGAAGAAGGGAAGTATAAGAGAAGATACAAAGAGTTTGCGGGTGGAGAAAGGTAAGAGAAGCCAGGACCGACGAAACAGGCTGAGGGAGGCAATGGGATGGCGGGAAATTTGGGAAATGTGAGAATGCCAGGAAAGATTTTGGTCAAAGATTACTCCTAGGTTTTTAACCGAAGAGCAGAAGGGGATGGTATGGTTATTTAGTATAAGAGGTGGGATGCTGGGGAGGGAATTGAGGAGTTCCCCCGGACCCGATAATTATGGCGGTGGATTTGGACGGATTGAGGACTAGGGAATTTTTATGGGCCCATTCGTTGATGGAGTTTAGGTCTTTTTGGATCTTGAGAGTGGCGGAGTGAAGGGTGGAAGGATGTGTATATTTGGGAGTCATCGGCATATAGGTAATAGTTAGAGTAGAATACCAGGTTCTTTTTCAACTCCTGGTTTAACCTGGAGGTGATCCTATTAATGTCCATCAGACAGAGGTGATACTTGCGCGTAAATGTGGGTAATGCTGATAAACCTGACGAAAAGTAGTAGTAGTAGTAAAAATAAATTTACTACCACTGACCTTGTGACGGATCTTGCATTTTTCATGGATAAACGACTGACTTGGAATCCTCGCACAAGACAGTTCCCTCACAAGGAACAACCCGTCGTTATAAACCTGAGACCTTCTCATTGAGTGAAGCAACTCCCACAACTAACTTTTAGTGACTGGGGCCGGTGTTGTGTTGCGATGCCGTGACGATAGTATGAGCCCGACACCGTGCGAGTGGTGCCGTTGGTGGTGTTGTGTGACGGAGTAACCGTTGACTGAGGTCAGGGGTCATGAGTCGGTTGACTCCATAGAGGCCGATGGTACTGGAGTGCAGCAATTAGCCGTGGGGCAGCAGTTGGCGTTAATGGCCAAGTCGGCTGTTTAGAAGGCGAGATCAGGCTAATGCTGCGAGTACTCTTGCTGTCGTTGACGTTTTATCCATCCTTAAATAGTTCCTCCAATCAGCGGGTTCAAGGGAAAGATCTTTCATCAAATTGATGTGGGTATTACGGCTTCTGTTCAGGAGCCACTNTTAGCCGTGGGGCAGCAGTTGGCGTTAATGGCCAAGTCGGCTGTTTAGAAGGCGAGATCAGGCTAATGCTGCGAGTACTCTTGCTGTCGTTGACGGTGTTCCTTTAATGATAGCTCGTCGGATTGACGAGTCTGCTGTCGTTGTTGCCGATGTCGGTTATATTAGTGATTGGTGAGTTCTCTTCGGGTTGACGAGTCTGATTCCAGCAAGGCAGTGCCCCTGCTTATATAGGAAAGAGCTCTATTCTGATTGTCTGCAGAGAGGAGGGCGAGAACATTCCATCAGTCGTAGTGGCATCTAGCGGTATCGTGGAAATAACTAGTGGCCATTACAAACTCAAATGATATGAGTTCAGCGTATATGAACATTTTACATATAGTACAATATTTGTACTTGTAATTAGCAAATAATTGTAATAAAAAGTCCAAATTTTAATAACTAATCCTTCTGGAAAAAGTAGAAGAAGAAAAATAACTTTATTCTGGGACTGATGTCCCCTAAGAATAATTTACGTGAAATAAATAAAGGAAGTTCCTTCTATGAAGTTAAAAGTAAAAAAAAAAGAAATCTTGGCACAATGTATACCAATAAGACAGGACAGAAGAAAAAATTACGAGAATATTAGGCGAAAATAACAAATGTTAACGTGAGGTCTCTGCTTGGTGGGAGAGGAGGTGATTATACAGGTGGGATTTAAAGAAGGAAAAGGAGGCAGCGTGACGAATAGAAAGGGGAAGAGAGTTCCAGATTTTAAGGGCTCGGATCAGAAAGGATCTTTCGAAGGTATGGGTCGTATGTTGCGGAAGGATAAGGTCGATTGGGGATGAGCGGGTCTTACGAGTGAGATGTGAGGAGTTGAATTGGAGGGATTGGATGATGTAAGGAGGACGACGAGTGTGGTCACGATGGGATGGTTATTTAGCATAAGAGGTGGGATGCTGGGGAGGGAATTGAGGAGTTGCCAGGACCCGATAATTAGGGCGGTGGATTTGGACGGATTGAGGACTAGGGAATTTTTATGGGCCTATTCGTTGATGGAGTTTAGGTCTTTTTGAGAGTGGCCGAGTGAAGATCGGAAGGGTGGAAGGATATGTATATTTGGGAGTCATCGGCATATAGGAGATAGTTACAGGACTGGATGGAGTCGGGCAGAACATTGATATAAATGGAAAAAAGGATAGGAGAGATGCTAGAGCCTTGGGGCACCCCAGATTTTAGAGGGAGGAAGGAGGAGGTAAGGCCATTGGGAAGGGAGTCAGCTTGGTGGCGATTGGTAAGGTAGGAGTGGAACCAACGGATGGTGCTGGAGGAGAAGAAAAAAGATTCGAGTTTAGAGAGGAGAGAAGAGTGAGGGACAGAATCGTAAGCCATAGTATTAGTATAAAATAGTACAAATTGGACAGTTTTCTACTGATGCCTTTTTTGATGCAGGGATGGAAAAAATTATGGTACCCGATCGTACTGGGAAAATTGTCATTAGATCATCTATATTATTACTACAATTATTTAAATAAATAAACTAAATAAAGTTTTTCTGCTTGCCTGGCAAAGTGCAGATCTGCTCTTTGATGATTGTCAGTTTTAACCAGTTTTCTGAACTATTTTTTCTCTCTTGTGCAAGTGACAAGTGTGTGTATGGATTTGTAAGTTTTGAGCTCATGGCACGATCAGCGGTCATTCATTGCGGTTTTGGGCATTAATCAGAGTCAATTTCTAGTTACTGAGAATTTCCAATGACAGGGAGAAGTCAATACTATATTTCGCGAACAGTGATTTCAAGGCAGAGAACCAAGAAAAGTGGCGATCGAACTATTTCAAGTGAGGTAATTTTTGAGAGCCTCTAGTCTGGAGAACCTACCGTCTTCAAGATAAAGAAAAAATGCAGCTTGAGAGTGGACACAAACAGTGGATAACGTTGCGCAGTGGCAATATCGTAATCAATAAAGTTCTACTGAGATGCGATAATTGCTAGTTGAAAACTACAACTAAATGGTATTAATAACTGTAAAGTTGTATAAACGTTAGTGTCACGACCGGGATTCGAACCTACGACCTTGGGCTCAATACGTCGCTCTAACCACTTGAGCTATCGTGACTTCAAAAAGTTAGTGTCACGAGCGGGATTCGAACCTACGACCTTGGGCTCAATACGCCGCTCTAACTACTTGAGATATTGTGACTTCAAAAAGTTAGCGTCACGAGCGGGATTCGAACCCACGACCTTCGTTTCAATACGCCTTTGCTCTAACCACTTCATTTCATCCAAAACCTAACATAAAAAGATTAATTAATTAAAAGACGTAATTTCGTCAATAGACCACTAAATATAATGGTTTTATAAAAGTTTTATTATTATAATTAATTAACAAAATAAACATACTAATTCAATTTTTTATGAAGATACAAGAAATTATTAAACATAGCAAATAAAAATTAAAACAGAAGAAAATTCACGATGTTTAATATAAAATAAAGTTCTAAAAAATTTCATAACGCTTTAACACTAACATTGTAACATGTTCTAATGTACTGAAGACTAGATGAACACATCAAGATGTCCAATGGCTATTTTTAATGAACAGTTTACAAACGGGAGCAGGTTCTTTAGGTACAATCAAGTATTTATTATTTGATTTTTAACAGATAAAAGTTTTTGCATTTATATGGACGTTTAAAAATATTATGTTAAATTCCTCATGGGGGTTTATAGTTTTGGGTTGTCTGGAGAAATGGCGACTAGAATTTTGTCCATTTTCTTAATTATATCTGAAAGCCTATGGTCCATGTGAGTATCGCCCTCGGCCATCCTAGATTCTTTTTTTGTTCTCCTCGCCGACGAATCTTTCCTAGCACTCGGCGCAAATATTTCCGTGTCGTGAAAAGCGTCATTGCCGATTCCTTTCCTTTCTTTTTTTGACCCCCAGAGCAACGATTTGAGAATTCCCACGTCCTTTTTTTTCTTTTTCGTCGATTTCGGCTCGGGCGAGTCGGAGACGCGCTGTTCGGCGCTGCACCTGCTCGTCGCCGATGAACTCAGGCTGTACTGCGATTTGTGGACACCCATGGATTTCTCCGTCCACACTAGACCGACCTCGTCGCCGTCCGAGTCCCGTCCGAAAACGGATATCGTCAGGGCAGGGAAACCCTGGCTGGAATGGGAGACTAAAGCCATCATGTGCTCGTGCGGGTGGAAGGAGACTGCTGCAGGAGAATCAGGACTGTAAAGTCTCGTGTACATTGCTGTTTTCTCGCCGGTGTGGCCGTCCCAGATCGACAGGCTGCCGTCTTCCGAACACGCTATTACTCTGGACCCACAGCCGCAGAACGTCGACCCCGTCTGGAGCTTGGTGTTCATTCCACCCTGGAACAATGAAAACGTTAAATTCTGAAGATCCGTCAAAGGATGAAAGTTAACTTTAAAGGATCTTCACTGGACCCGCCTAGTCTCGCTTTAACAACGGACTCGGCGGTCCTAGGGTTAATCTGATTGTAGGTGGTGTTTATTTTCAATTTTTGACTGATTGGCACTGCATCACTATATTGGGTCTGTCGACTCTCTCAAACGCGTTTCACCTGACCCCTTGAGGACAATTGAAACTGATGGCTTAGGCCGAAACGTACATCTAAACCCGCAAAAAAAGTGGACAGACCCAACAGGTCTCTCTCAAACTTAACATTTCACATTTACGCGGTACGGCCTTAGTCGACTTTCCAAAAAATTTGCATTTTAGATTGGCAGACATTGATGTGTTGATGCACATGAGGTTATGCGACGAATATAAGGATATTTTTTACCTCTTTTATTTTCCTAAAAAGGATTTTATTTAAAATAGGTTAGTCCAAGAGACAGGTTAATTTATTTCACATGTTTTCATGTACATTTCGGGCTGCCCATCATCAGCAACCCTAACAAGAAGGGCAGTCAAGTACATGACTCTTGGACTAACCCTATTTTAAAGAAAATCCTTTTTAGGAAAATAAAAAAGTTACAAAAATATACACAATAAACCAACAGACGTGGAATTTTACAAAAACGTAAATCTGATGTATGTAATTTTCTATTTATTGATCATTGCAAACAGACGATTAAGTGTTTTGTTAAATGACCTAAATAATGATTATTTTAAATTTACATAATTGTCCAAAAACTTTATAAATCTGACATTTTTCTCAAATATAGAGAAGCATTGGTTAATTTGTGATATTAAAAAAAACTTTCTAGCTTTGGATGTTTTCAGCCTACAACAAAACATCCAAAAATCAATAAAAACAATTGTTGTCTTTCTTGCATTATAATTTTTTTTAAACATGAAATCTAACCAGAGCAAAATTATTGAGATCAATCTATGCATAACGTACATAGACATGTGCATTTGCAATAGCCAAACATTTCGATAATTATGGCCCAACCGTTATATACATCATCGCTATTAACTCATCGAAATACCCTTAATATTTCACTAGTTGATCAACTAAATTTTATGAAACAGAGGAGAAATTGCTCTTTTGATTTCATTTTCATTTGTCCTAATATTGGTTCGTTGACTTTTTTTTTTTCTGGCGCATCTGGATTATTGTAAAGTTTTATATGCTGTATAGAAGCAGGTCTACTTCAAAAATATAAATTTAAGAAAAAACTGGTTTTAATTGTTCTTAAGAAAAAATTAACCTATAAAATCTTTAAAAAGAAGCAACCTTTGGAATAAAAACAATTGAAAACATGCTTTATGACAAACACATGCATGGGTCTAAACATAAATATAAAACGTTGTTAGGGGACCCTTCAAAATATAATTTCTCTATCGTATCACAAAGTTAATTACTGGGCTTATTTAAAGGTTAAGTCTTAAAAGATCAACAAACAAAAACATTGAGAAAAATTAACCTATAAAATCTTGAAAAATAAGCAACCTTTGGGATAAAAACAATTGAAAACATGCTTTATGACATACACTTGCATGGGTCTAAACATAGATATAAAATGTTGTTAGGGGACCCTTCAAAATATAATTTCTCTATCGTATCACAAAGTTAATTACTGGGCTTATTTAAAGGTTAAGTCTTAAAAGATCAACAAAATTAGACAAAAACATTGAGCAAAAATTAACCTATAAAATCTTTAAAAAGAAGCAACCTTTGGGATAAAAACAGTTGAAAACATGCTTTATGACAAACACATTCATGGGTCTAAACATTGATATAAAACGTTGTTAGGGGACCTTTCAAAATATAATTTCTCTATCGTATCCCAAAGTTATTTACTGGGCTTATTTAAAGGTTAAGTCTTAAAAGATCAACAAAATTAGACAAAACAGATAGAAACCTCTTTCAAGGACTAAACTTACATTCATTTACAAAAAGTATTCTCTTTAAAAATATACATATTTTACATGTATACATATGAATGTACATATCTTGCTATCTGGCCAATAAAATTTTATAGAACTTGGCATGATCGTTTCTGATTTATTCTATGTGTGGCAAAAATTTGGCTAAGTGCATCACGGATTTTGCGCAAGTCCTCCCAAATATATTTTTTTCTATGATTTTATTGTACTAAGTAGAATTAGCAAAAATTAGGCACTAATAAATGCTAAAACCTTTGTTGAAAAAGCAAAATCTCCAACTGTATTCTGTATGTTGAACTATTCTCAGATATTCAGTGGTTAAATAATAATTATAATAAATATTCCAATTATCTGGCGGTTTAGCTGGAAAAAAAGGACTAATCGAAACTCTGCTGCAGTACAATATAAAAATTAAATTAATAATAAGAAGTAAATATTGTGTCATTTTTAAACTTAATCAATTCTTAGGATGCAAATTGTAATTGATGCTTGTTGTTGGTCGGTGCGTCGGTGAACTCAGAATTGGGCTCACTTCTATCGCGGATTTGAGTAGTACAACAAACCGGCAAGTGAAGACTGACCCAATAAGGACCACGTGCCAGTTCAGTTCACATTATAATTATTAAACTTTTAGTAAATATAGTATTAAAAATAAGATCGATATAGGTTAGGGATGGTTAGGGTAATGCATTTGGCACTGCCCGATTGAATATGTACCTGAAACCATTGAAGGACAGATCCTGACTCTATGTCGATCATCCTTAGAAGGCTGTCTCTTGTATGAATGAGAAGTCGTTTTCCTGCAGGATGGATAGTTAAGCTATTTATGATTTTACCTCTGAGTTCTCTTATTTTCAATTCTCTGCTCAGCTCTAGAGATCTGTAAAGTTGTTAGGACATAGACGTAATTAGAAAAGGAGAGAGAAAAAGAAATATTACCCTTCACTTTTAGCTTTCCAGAATATAATGACACCATCGCTATCTCCGGAGACGAGAAGCTCGTTTCCATTGGGGCCATCGTGAGGCTTAAGAGCGCCTAACGTGTTCACACGAGCCTTGTGATGAATCAGATGTTGAACCGGATACGCGCCAGAATCCGAAGCGCTGCTCCAGAGGCGTACCTGATAATCGTAACATCCAGTTGCTATTATGAATTTCAGTTCCAACCAGCATGCACTGTAGACATAACTGGGATGTGGGAAGACTTTGAACGGCCTTGTCCTCTTGTTCGCAATGTCCCAGATGATTCCTGTGGCATCGGCGGAAGTCGACAGGAGATATTTGTCATCAGGGGACCATGAAAGACTGTAAACCAAGCCATGATGGCCCGCTAGTGTAAGATATCTTGTTCCTTTATATGTAAAAACTGTTATGGTATTTGAAGTGTGACAGGCAAGTAGCAGGCCGGTGTGGTTGAAAGCGATGGCCATCCCTCCATCCGGACCTGTCGGTAACTGTTTCAAGACTTTATTTGGTAGCTTGCACGATAGATTTGGCAGCCTACTCCAAATCACTCTCTCCAGTTCTTCTTCCACATGTGAGCTGATTTCTGGAGGGTTATCCTCTTTTGGCTTATCTTCTTGCTGAGTTTTTAAATCTTCAAGCTCCTGCGGCTTCACTACAAAATTAGACGGTATGGAATTCAACGTGATGAAAAGCGTGCTCTTATAAACTGAGTATTTTCCTCGCTGCCACCAAAAGAATGGCTAGAAAAAAAATTTTTTGTAATCTTGTGTTTACACCTCTTTTATAACCTCAAATACTTTTGGCAGTTCAGAGCTCTTGGCGGCTGATGGCAATGAACGAGACGGTTTGTACAATTGAAGCCGCAGCTTTTTACCAACATTAGTCGCTCCGTTGACACCAACAGGTCGCAGGAAAGCCCAAGCGATCATGTCTGATGAATCGTTTGAAAACAGTTCAAACAGCATGAGAGTTGATGTTGAAGCAATATGCGATATTGGCTCCATCCATACAAGATCCTCATCCCACCTTGGCATAACAGTTCTGAAATAAATTATTTAAATGAGTTAAATTATAACTTAAAGTGTTTTTTAAGACAAATATTCTGCTATCTGAAAATCAAGAATTAATTTCCCTACAAGTCTTAGTATTATTTTATACCTTTGGTATAAATTGTCAAATGGATGTGTTTGCAAGACATCAATATTCATTTTTCCAAAAGCACTTCTTCGGTATGCGCATTCCTTAACATCAAGGACATGCACCTTCAGATAAGGTTTAGAATTGAAATCTCTCATCTTTAGAGGTTCAGCACCATGGATTGAAAGGCAGACTGCAGTGTCATCTAAAAACCAAAGGATTATAATAATTATAGTAATATGAATGTAATATAATAATTTCAGAGAGAGAATGAATGAGTAAGGTGGAAAGAGCATAACCTGTAGCAGGGGTTGGACTTGGTGCTTTATTCTCATCAACAATACTTCGTTCAGTTGTCTTACTTTCCAAATCAGAATCCTTTTCATTTGATTTTGGTGTGTCTTTCAGTTTTCGCTTTTTCTTATGTCTCCTCTGCCTTGGAGGAGGAATGACACCAGTATCTCTGTAGTCCATTGATGAAGTCGTGCAGTAGCTCTTCGGAGAATCAGCGTTTTTAACTTCGGCCTGAAGGGAAATTATGTCTTCAGATGATTTTGTAAGCGACTTCCTAGGCAAAGGGACAGGCGGCTTTGATAACTTCTCAGGCGAATTGCCAGAATCTTCACTGAGAGTTTCAGTCGCACTTCCGCGTGGCCTGCGATGCCTTGCTGAGAGTGGTGCAAGCTTGATCTTCGATGACCCCCCTGTTGAAGAGTCACTTAGTGTTTCAGTGGCAGATCCCCTTTTTTCCTTTGAGCTGACTGGCCTCCTCCAAGCGACAGGGCCAGGTTCTTTAAAAACAGGGTCACTGACACTCTTAGGGACGTTGCTCTCTCTGCTAAGCATATTTAACATTTCAACACGTTCTTTGACTGAGACAGCGCTTGAACCCCTCAATTTGATCATGGGCTTGTGAGAGTCCTCTGAGCTCAGCGTGTCTTTGCTTGATTTAACAGAGTTTTCAATTTCATCTGAATTGTAAACAATTATATCATCCTCAGACTGCTTGATCGTAAATGTAGATCTTTTTCGTACTTTTTTCCTTTTCTTCTCAACCTTTTTGTTTCCACCGTCATCACTTGGTGTTAGCAATTGGATTCTTGAGCTATGAACCTCTGCAACATGTACAAAACTGGGCCTGGGAAAAAAAATTGTTAAACTATATAAATTATTATTAAATTTAGAAAAAAACTATTTAAGCCGCTCATTATTCACTGTTCATATGGAATGCTCCTGAAGGTAAAAAAATCACTGCCTACTAAATTCAAAAATCAATAAATTGTACAGCACAAAATATTGCTACTTTCAATTTAAATAATTTTATAGATCATATTTACTTCAAACGAAAGTTTGTAAACAATTAATTGTTTGTTTAGTTTTATTCAAAAAAAGGAACCAATAGGCAAAATTTGTTAATTTTATTAATAGTCTTGTTTATTGAAATAATTAACTAATTGTGAGTTTACGGTATAGCAGAGTGATCAACAAAGATGACAAGTGCCTGAAAATTCATTATTTCTCTAACTTCTAGTCTTTACTGGCATATATTTACAAAATTCTCATATGTAATCACACACCAAAAATTTTTACATCTAACCTAACCATCAGGTACTTTCAAGTCATTGTGGCCAGTCTCTATCAGCCAGGTATCGCACAGATACAGGGATACCACAAGGAATTATCTTAGGGCCCATCGTCTACACGGTAAATACCGCAGGCATTCCTACTCTGCTTGAAACAACTCTTACCACCTATGCAAGATGGTACCGCTATCCTTTTCTCTCATCTTAACCAGAAACCTACAAACCTATGACACATAATTGAGAAATAGTTCAAGCAGTGGAAGATGACAAAATGTGAACATGTAACTTTCTCCCTTTGTTGAATGACCACTGCTTCCATTTAGTAAAATCGTATCCCATCAGCTAATGAAATCTGCTACCTTGGGGCTCAGCAAATGACTTACATTGAACCCTCAAATGTGACGTAAAAGACAAAAGCTAAAAAGATGATTCAGGTTGCTTAAAAGATTGCTCGACAACCAAAACTGTCTCTACACCAATTTGGACAGCATTGAAATTTCACGTTCAACAAAATGTTCTAACCTCCAACGTACTCATACACATCATCAATGCTCCTTTCTATGTACCCAATTATACAATTCACAATGATCTTAACATCCAATATGTCCTTAAAGTAGCAAAAAACTGCTACAAGAAACAAACAATTATCCAGTCACACAAACCGTCAGAAATCATTCATCCTGCACCATCAAATAATACTACACAACGGCTGAAGCGTCACTGGCCTTAGGACTTCCTGGAAAATGGTTCCTTTTTTCTGTTTTATATATATTTTCTGTGTTAATTTTGCATTGTTTTCCAAAGTAAGATATCAGATTTGCTTAACCTCAGCGCATTGGCGCAAGTATAAATAAAGGAGAAAAAAGTCACAGATTGACATGATTATATCTCCAATAAGAGAAATTTTCTATGTTGAAATCAAAGATTACTTACTCCATCGGCCCTCACCGAGACTGGCAAAAACACTGCTACAATTGGAGAGGGCCAAACTCAGAGGAGTGGTGGGACTACTAACCGGTCACTGGTATCTGAGAAAACATCTACACAACATGGGTATATACAGTGATGATCCTATTTGTAGATTATTTAATGAGGAGGAGGAAACAGCCACTCATATCATCTTCGAATGCGAAGCAACAGCTCAATGGAGGTATAACCTAACGTACGGAAAAGATAGGGAATCAAATTGCAGCAGCAACAGTCAATGACGTGATACATCTAAGAAGAAGGATTGAGTTTATTCTGAACTAAGGAACTAGGAAGGTACAATAAGCCAGAAGGCTGCAGTGCCTGGGGAATACAAACCCCGCTTCCTAGCATCCTTTCCACCATACCATACTCCATCGGAATACAAATAGCATACCTGTGTTTCAGTTACGAGGTACGAATAGGAATCATAAAATGTATGAAATGCGGAATCATTATTATTAACATAAAATGGAAGGAATTGAAAACTCTAACAATTTTTGTAGATATAACAATGACATTGATAAAGTTTGGCATGAAAGCATCCTCCAAAAAAATGTAATAACTAATGTTTTCAAAAATTATGCACAAAATATTGAATTCCTTCTTGGTGGAATTGAATGCACCTTCAGTTCTTGACAACCTAGGAAAGAGCAAGGGAATAACGATTTCTCTTTAATTAATGCGAATAATAATAATAACAATGTAAATGATGAGAGATGAGAAAGAGAGAGAGAGCTTAGTTGGGGTATGTATTACACTGGAAGCAAAAAATTCAGTCTCATTTGAATCTGGAAGCAATAAACTGTTTAGTTTTCATCTTTGTTTTCTTAATTTCAATTTTTAAACATGAAACTGCCACTTAGTGCTGAGGATGTTGCACATGGTGTGGCACTTGATGAAGGACGTTTCATCATGCTCTATGCTGCCATCGGAGTTCCCTATGAAACTATGCGAGACGAAGCATGTTAGATGTTTTCGAGAAACTGGGTGCTACCATAGAAGGCCCAGTTCTGGACACCTAAGGGTAACAGAACCGCAGGATGACCGTTTTTTGACTGTGAGAATTTTGGAAACCGGCACCTTACTATTGTTCAAGCGATTCATCAGCTCCAGGAAGTTCGAGGTAACCAAATTTCTAAAGGCACTGGTTGAAGAAGATTAAATCAGTATGGACTGATGGCTTTTCACCCCGTAAGAGGACCAGAATTGACCAGAACACACGGAGTTGCACAGCTCCCATTTGCTCAAGAACACAGCCGTTCGTCTTTGGACGATTGGTCTGCTGTACTTTTTACAGACGAGTGTAGATTTGCTCAACGATCTCCAGATGGGCGTGAAAGAGTGTGGAGAGGGCGAAATGAAAGATATGAAGCCTGTAATTTTTCCCAGCCGACCTTTTCAATGTAGCTCAGTGATGGTGTGGGCGGGAATTTCAAAGGAGAGTCGCACAGAGTTGGTTGTTGTTCATCGAAGGTCCTTGACGTCCATTCGCTATGTGGATGAAATTTTGGAACATCATGCATTGCCTATCCTTGATGAAATCAGCTACAATCCTATTCTAATGCACGATAATGCCCGTCCACATGCTCGCATAGTACAAACCTACCTTCAACAGCATAACATCAGGGTCTTAGCCTGGCTAGCCCGTTCTTCAGACTTGAACCCCATCGAACATTTATGGGATAACCTCAAATTTTTGTAGATATAACAATGACATTGATAAAGTTTGGCATGAAAGCATCCTCCAAAAAAATGTAATAACTAATGTTTTCAAAAATTATGCACAAAATATTGAATTCCTTTGGTGGATAGTAGATTTTGTATATATATGTACTATTTGTTCTTAAATCTTACAATAATTTCAAATTTTAATTTTAATTTTCAGATTTATAGTGCAACCCACATTTCTTCTTGGACGGGTGAGGACATGTCGCTAGATACATATCCTCTATCAAGTACAGGTATCTTGCTTGGAACATCTCTCCTGGGCACTGGGACAGGGCTGGTCATCCTGCTGGGGCACTGGTGCGACTGCTCGGTCGGCCTTCTGTCTATATCGGTTGCTAAGTAACCGTTGCTAGGAAAACAATGTCACCACCAGTGTTTTCCCCAGTTATGTACACATTTCATAATAAATTACCTACGATCACATTTATTGATAAGTGACCGGTTTAAAATAATACACATTAAATAGCAATTGTATACTTTTTAACGAATTACATTTTAAACAGAAGTACCTATAGCAACGTCTACTATTTGGCTCTGTTATATAAAAAATAAATAATACCTGCAGTCATATATTTTTTTATATTTAAAACTTAAGCTTAACTTATATCCTGTTTGTACCTTCTGGTCTATTGGGTTTATCTTCCACCTAATTAATATCTAAGTGATAATCGCTTTATTACAAATTTATTACAAACAGAATGCAACTCTAGACCATGGGTTCGAATCCCATCTGTACATTGATGTTTTTATTTCAAATTTCATGTATATAAAATTTAAAAAATAGGTGTATTGAAACCATAAAATAGTCATTAATCAATTTGTTAATAATGATAGCAAACGATTTTGTAGATATAGTTTTTTTTCAGCAATTTGATATTTTAGTAGAACGCTATTAGCCCACCGCATCAAACCCATTTGATTGAGAAATGAGACAGCCATAAAATAGTAAAGAAAGCGTTGATCTTTATTTTTTTAAATTTGTCTGTTTGACTGTTTGACATTTGGTTCAGAAATGAATTACGTCCATTATGTCCAATAAATTTAACAGATTATAATATATAAATAATTTAAAAATTAATTTAAATTGTTGTGGGGGGGGATGTGGACTTTTCCATAGGTGTACAATTGTAAATGGTTTTTATCTACATCCTCCTAAAACAGCCGGAAAAAAAAGAGAGGGAAAAATGTGACCCGTTATATCTCCTTGGGCGGCAGCTGCCTGCGGCGGTGGTGGCACTCTATCTGTCTCACGGGGAAATAGGTTTATGGCTAATGCCGAAAGGTTAGGCCAAAAAAAAAAAAAAAACACAGCATCTCAGCGGGTGTTCCTCAAGGACCCCTCCTTTACATTCTGTACATGACTTTCCAGCAGATAGCAACATCGAAATAGCCCAATTTGTGCTGTCCCAAAGTATCATGCTCAGTGATGCAGAAACAAAAATGCAGAATTACTGCTAAAAAATTGATGATTAGGCATCCAAGTGGAAAGTTAACCTGAATGCGACTAAGTCCAAACTCATTAACTTTACTTATAAGAAGACTTCAAGGCCCTCACACATAGTACTCGGTGGAACTATTGTACCTCAAGCGAACTCATATAAATACTTAACGCTGCACTTGGACTCGCATCTCACCTGGAATAACCACATATCCTGATGTGTAACGAGAATTCATTTTCGTATCAAACCAATCCTCTGTAGCAATTCTGTCCAAATTCCACTTAACTCCTTTATCTAAGCCTAATAAAACCAATATGGTTTTATTGCTCGCCCATCTGGTGTTCTGCATCCACCTCACAAATAAAAAGGATACAAACGTGCCCTGGTTTGTAAGGAATGAACAGCTCCACAATGAAATATCGTTGACATCAGTAGAAGACGAACTAAAAAAGAGATACCCGATGCTGCTTGCCAAAGCTTGGGAAGTTGGTGTCCGAGTGGTTCGAGGTCACGAAAGCTCAAGTGGAGGAGCAGCGGCGTATCTAGCTGAAGATCTTGGGTTCGAATCCCGCTCGTACCATTGACTTTTTTATCTCAACTAAAAACCTTAATAATTAATAATTTATGATAATTAACATAAATAGAGGATCAAATCAAATTTCTATCGTGCTATCTTGCAGGAACCTAAAAATTTCTTTATAAAATCATTTTCTGATTGTATTAGAGTTTGTAAGGTGGACGGTTTATTTATCTCTCTTGGATGGAGTGTTCCATGCATACGAGTATGATATGTCTTGCTCGTCACACGTCGGAAGGTCTAAGGTGTATTCGGTTCAAGTAATGACCGCAGATTCCATGATTAGTCCGAATCCACATGAAGGTGTCAAAAGGTTTTTTTTTCCTTCAACTTCTTTGATCCGTGGAGTATGGTATGGTGGAAATGATACTAGGAAGCGGAGTTTGTATTCCCCAGGCACCGCAGCCTTCTGGCTTATTGTACCTTCCTAGTTCCTTATTTCAGTCAATAGACTCAATCTTCTTAGAAGTATCAGGTCATTGACTGTTGCTGCTGCAATTTGATTCCCTACGTTTTTTTGGTATGTTAGGTTAAACCTCCATTGAGCTGTTGCTTCGCATTCGAAGATGATATGAGTGGCTGTTTCCTCCTCCTCATTACATAATCTGCAAATGGAGTCATCGCTATATATACCCATGTTGTGTAGATGTTTTCTCAGATACCAGTGACCGGTTAGTAGTCCTACCACTCCTCTGAGTTTGGCCCTCTCCAATTGCAGCAGTGTTTTTGCCAGTCTCAGTGAGGGTTGTTTACTCTGTCTAGCACCGCTAGAGTTTATCCACTTCTCTTTTTGTTTTGCTTGGATCCATTCTGTGATGAAGGATTCTACATTTGTAAGTATAGGTCCTAAGTATAGGTTCGGGGCCTATGTATGGTCTTGCAGATCCTCCTCTGGCCAGTTTGTCTGTTTTTTCGTTAGCCAGAATTCTCCTGTGCCCTGGCACCCAAGATATCATCAGGTTGTTGTGTTTTCCCAGGTTTTGGAGATTTTGGATACATTCACTGACTAGTTTTGATGTAATTCTTTTACATGCCAACGCTTTAATAGCTGCTTGGCTGTCTGATCTTATGAGGATTTTTTGTCAGTGTAACCTCTTTTAAGATTTTCCAGGGCACAAGCATTGATGGCATGTATTTCTGCTTGAGGGACTGAAGTGTACTTCCCTAATGAGTTTGATTGCTCATGTTTTGGGCTTGTACAGAAAACGCCTGATCCGGTTCCTTCGTTTGTTTTAAAGCCATCTGTGTACCATATCATTGTATCTGATGGGCTCCTGTGTTCTTCCTCTCCTTTGAGACTTTATAGGAAGTTATGAAGATTGTTTCCGTGATCATGTAGTCAGTCTACATTTCTAATAATGGGTGTCTGATTTTGTTGATTGTGGTTGTATGCCCGAATTGTTTAGTTCCTTTCCAATTTAATTGTTTCTGGAGCCTAAATGAGCTTTTCCTAGCCTCTCCTTGTAGTAGACACACACCAATTTTTACGGCTGAGGAATATTGACTTGTATACCAATCCCTGTGTTGTACCAAGCTTGCCATTTGCCAAACTCGCTGTTGTGCAAAGCCTGTTTGGTGTCGTTTAGCGGTAGCTTAATTTGATGAAAGTCCCCAGTCTTTGTTGCTGCTTTGGAAGGTGAATCCATTCCTTCATTTCCTCATATACCTCTATGTCCTCAAAAAAAAGTCAGTGTCATGAGCGAGATTCGAACCCACGATCTTCGGCTAGATACGCTGCTGCTCTACCACTTGAGCTATCGTAACACTGACTTTTTTATCTCAACTAAAAACCTTAATTAATTGAGTAATATTCATAGTTGAGTCCAAGGTGGTAGTTTAATTTATTAAATGATAAAATAAATAAATTAAATTACTGCCGAATACCTGGTTTCTTTCAACTTTAACATAATAATTTGTTGAAGTCTTGAGCGGTCAAGAATGAGGTAGTTTAGAAAAACACTTTTGTCATTTTTTGCCGACGTTTCGACCTTTATTCGGGTCATCTTCAGGTAAATTACAAAACATGTTGATTGGAAAAAAATACAATTTAAGATGTAAATATAAATTTTGAACCAAGTATTTCATACTCACATGAAGTGTGGTGCTATTCTTGCGTTGTCATATTGGTTTTGGGTGAAAGTTTTGTGAAATGTGGATTTGTATTCTGCCGGTTTTATATGATTGTGACGCGGGGGGGGGTACTTGTAATACAACTTGATTTGTATATACTTTTATATATTAATCGAAGTTTCACGGTTTTTAACGTTTGATAATTGAGTCTTTGTCTAAAAAAGCAAAAACAAATTTTAAAAAAAAATTGCTCAGGAAAACAGTAAAAAGTAACATTTTAATATCGTGTATTTCCTCTTCTTGCCTTAATTACATCTCAAAGACGCCTCAGCATACTTTCTACCAGACTGGAAATGTCTCTTTGCTGGAGGTTAGCCCAATCTTCACGAAGAATCCTTTCAAGATGGTGGAGTGTATCGTGGAGGTGACGGACGTGCTTTTATTCGTCTTTTGAGGTTATCCCATAAATTTCGATGGGGTTCAAGAATGGAGAACGGGCTGGCCAGACTGAGACCCTGATGTTGTGCTGTTGAAGGTAGGTTTGTACTATGCGAGCATGTGGATGGGCATTATCGTGCATTAGAGTAGGATTGTCGCTGATTTCATCGACGCATGATGGTCCCAACATCCACATAGCGAGTGGCTGTGAAAGACCCTCCACGAACAACAGCCAATTCCTTGTGAAATCTCGCCCACAGAGTGTTCTGGTCAATTCTCGTCTTCTTACGAGGCGAAAGCCATCAGTCCAAACTGATAAACTCTTCTTCGAGCAGTGCCTTCAGAAATTTGGACACCTCGAACTTCCTGGAGCTGATGAATCGCTTGAACAACAGTAAGGTGTCGGTTTCGCAAAATTCTCATAGTCAAAAAACGGTCATCCTGTAGTTCTGTGACCTAGGGTGTCCAGAACCGAGCCTGCTATGGTAGGACCCAGTTTATCGAAAACGTCAAAAATTAACATCTTAATTATTAATTTTCTTCCCGTACCCCGGGTTCGTTTGGGTACAACTTGAGCTTTTCTACTTCACTCATTCCAACAGCACATTTTTTTCCTACCATAAAATTTCTCTGTGGTTTACAGTTAAACTAACGTCTTCATAAAGCCGGTGAGTAATAAAATCTAATTGTTAGATGAAAATATTAAAAGCGAGTTAGAAGAAATCCTGTATTTCTAGCTCCTTCTATTATATTTTGTACATTTTATGTTG